GGTGTGTTTTGTCCCTCATTCCCAAGACTTGAAAAAAACATACATTTCTCCTTCCTTGTTTTTATTTTTTCAGGCAGATTTTCCTCTGCTGCTTCTGCAAGCGTATGCCCCAGGTCTTTGCTAAAGAACTACCGGTCAAGCCCTCTGTGGGCTATTTCTCTTCTCCCTCAGCTGGAGGGATGAAGGATCCCTTTCACTCACTCAGCCCAAAGTTCCATACAGCAGCTGTGGCCCTATCTCAAGCTATGACCAAGTTTACCCCTGGGTATAATATACATTGTACTGATAAAGCATAATGAGTTGTTTGTGCTTGTTGAGCGTGGACTGGGGAAGACAAGAGGGATCTCTTTCCCCAGATTCAAGCATATTCATCTCAAGTATTCCCCCCAAGCCGCCTTTCCTGACTTCGGGCTGCCCTCACTCACTTTGCAATGAGAAGGAGAACAGCTAAGGGTATTCCTAGGTGGGGAACAACTAGAAGATACATTGTTTCCAACAGAGGTTAATACTGTTTATCCCATAGTTTGAAAATGCCTGCTGTGGGAATGGGAAGCCATAGGCTCATCTGCCCAGATGTTCTGCCCAGAACTCTCGCAGCCAGAATCTTAGTGTGATAGGTGGTTCCCACAGTCGTCTGTGGGAGCTGTGGGGAGCGCCCGGTTTGATGGTACCTTGCTGTCAGCCTGCTGCCTCTCTAGCTGAGTCTCATCATGTGTTTTTCTACTTGTTCTTGCTACTTACTTTATAAACTCATTCATTACCAAAGTATGGTAGACCACTGGCCAAATGGATCAGGCTGGGTCTTGAAGGCATACTGTGTGGCTCAAATGACTGGCTACGCTTGGTCTCTCTGCTCCTTAAGAAACTAAGAACATGGGAATGCTGGGGTTCAAATCTTGGCTTCACAGTGACCAGCTACGTGGGCTGGGCAGCTTGTCAGGCTGTGCTTCACTGCCCTCCCCTGTGATGGAGAGATAATGGTATTCGATAATGAGATTGTCTTTCTTCTTCTTTTTTTCTTTTTGAGACAGGTTCTCTCTGTAGAATCCTGGCTATCCTGGGACTTGCTCTGTAGGCCACGCTTTGAACTCACAGAGATTTGCTTGTTTCTGCCTCCAGGATGTTGGGGATAAAAATGCGTGCCAGCACAGCCCACTCATAATGATATTCTCAACCTCGTCAGTTATAATAATTAATTAAATAATCGACATACGTACTTTATTTGGTGCAGGGCTCAGGACTAGCGTGGCAGCAATGACCGTGTCTTGGCTGCTGCTGCTGTTAATGAAGGCATTGCCCTAGACTTCACAAGCCCCATTTCTGATCCCCATTTGTGCTTTCTCGCTGAAGCACTTGCCCTAGGCGAGTCTTTCTGGTACAAGCCTGTCTCTATGTTATGAGCACTACAGCCCAGGTTTGTGCCTTCCCTTTGGAATCTAAAATGGGCAGTTTCTGGCTGAGTTAAGCACTCTCTAGCCTTTGGAATAGTTTGGGGGTAACAATTACATGTGTCCTGGTTCTTGATTCAAATCTGTGAGGTCGTCTTTGACTCCTCTCGCTTCAAGCACTGCAACAAGCCTTGCAGGTTCTGCCTTCAGACTGTGTCTGTCTCTGGACAGCCTTCAGCGCTTCCACAGTCTTAGGAACAAGATGGCGGGCGGGACCATCTCTAGGAACAACCGCTAAGCGCTCAGTTCAGTCCCAGACTCTGACCTGGCCCCTCAAGCTCTGTTCTCTGTGTCACAACCACAGTGGCTTTTAAGACCACGAGTCCTTTACACCTCCCCTCTGACTGCAACCTTTCCACCCATGAAGCCCTAGATGGAACCCTCAGGTCCATAGAGCAGTTTCCAGGGCTCCGCGGGATCCGGATGCCCTTTCTGTCTATTTCCCCTCGATCACCTCGCGCCCTGCTTCAGCCATACCTGTCTTCTTGCTGTTGCTTGAAAACAGGTTGTTGGTGGCCAGGACTTTCTCAGCCTTCCCGGGGTGCTGCCCCTTATTTGTCTGCATAGCTGGCCTTTTCCCTGTGCGGTTCATGGCATGATACTGACGCAGAGAGACTTGTTTGCACTCCAGAGGTTCAAGTCCAACAGTGGGTGACCCCTCAGATTTGGACCCCCTCCGAGGAGGGTGATGCTGGAAAGCTGAGACCTTCCCTAAGGCTTTACCCCTGAAGGCACACACACACCCCCCAAGCACACTACTCACTGACACTGACGATGACTCTTCCTCCGGGCCACTGCCCAAGTGACTCACCATTGAAAGGGTTCTTCAGCCATGTTTTTTTTTTTTTTTTTTTTTTAACCTTTCACTAGTATTTCAAATTCCCCTTATTTCATTCTCTTTTTCCCATCCTGAGCACTTCACAGTCAATCATAAATTCATTTTTATCTCTGCCTTCTAGAATGGTTAGGGTTAGGGGTTAGGGATTAGGGTTAGGGTTAGGGATTAGGGTTAGGGTTAGGGATTAGGGTTAGGGTTAGGGTTAGGCTGCTTTTGAGCTACTATATCTGTTCTTACACAGGTGTGTGCTTCCTAGGAAGAACTGTAGAAACTATCTTGGGAGGAGATGTCCTCAGCTAAAGAGGTCTTTGAAGATTTTCCTTCATGCAAAAGGGCTCTGGGTCCTACACCTTGAAGTTGTGAGCTTATTGTGGCAACCAAATTGAGAAGGCGGAATGCTATTCTTGTGTCTTGGGAAGGATGTCTCCTTGTTCTCCTGGTGCTGAAGGCAGCCAGGCAGGTGTCAGCTAACTCCAACCCTCCTGCTATTAGCTGGCAGCTTTTCCCAAGGATTTGGGAGGGGATAAACCCAATCCATGGTTTCCTTCTCCTATCATAGACACTACAACTACTTCATGGCTAAAGAGTCTCCCAAAGGACTATTCTTCTGGTGTTCCTGAGGCCTGAGTCACTTCCCAGCACCCTCTGTAAAGAAAAGCCAACACCTGGAGCAGACAGTTTTGTTTTGCTCTTGGAAGCTCACAGCTGGCGGCATGGAGGAGGGGTATGTCCAGCAGGCCCCAGGCTGGGCCATCATAGAGGCAGTTTCTAGAAGGAAAGATTGAGTCCGCTCCCAGGCTTCATAACTTTCTCCAAAGTCTTAGAGTATTCTTTCCCTGCTCTGGGGCAATTAGAGAAGGTATCCAATTTTCCAAAACCTTCTGGAAGGTAGCTTTCTTATCTGACACAGGGCATCTTGCCTGTGGCAGGGCTTAGCAATCAATGCTGGCTGGGCCCTGACATATGAATTTGTGGATCCAAGCCACCAGGGCAATGCAGAAGACGGGATGGCTTCTGTCAGAGGCACTTTCTTAAACTGAGTCCTACAAGCCTTCCCTCAATAACTGCATTCATCGGAAGGGGCTGCCCAGTATGTGGGGTAGGGGGATGTTGTCCTACTGTGAGGTATCTTGTAAACATCCCCACTCTGAAATTTAAAGCAAAAGTTACTTCTGGACCACCAGTGCTGTTAGCTGATTGTCAGACTACAGACAAACACTGCAGTCAGTAAAGTCCCTAGTGGGATTTCTCTGGCAGCAAATGAAAGCCCTGGCGATGGAGGACTGGCTGAGCAAAAGCCCTTCTCTGTGGGGGCCCCTCCCCCACACTTGGAGCCACAGTGAGTATAAACGTCTGTGTGTAGTGGGCAATGGGCACCCTAACCCACAATTCTAAGGCAGCTGTAGACTGCACTTAGGAACTTCAGAGTAGCACAATTCACCCCACTCCTCACAGCTAGGGTGACCTCACCCTCAATAGACAATACTTTAAAGACATTGTTTACAAATCAATTTCCCCTTCTAAATGGGCGCTCCAAGAGTAGATCCTTCTGCTTGCCCAGCCCAGGCCCACCTGTCACTGGGGTTTCCTAGCCAGTGGTCACACCGTATTGATCTTTTTAATCCCCTCCCTTTGAAACACAGAGCCAGCTGATGCGGAGTTCCTCAAAAGCCTCCCTCAGCCCCTACCTCTACAGGTAGCTGCAGATCCGGGGCTAATTCCCCACTAAAAAGTCTTAATTGGCTTATGGGGTGCCTGTAAGCTCGCCCTTGTTTACAAGGTGAAAAGAAATGATAGCTCATAAATGCTCTAATCTGTCTCAGTCTTGGTGGAAGTCAGGTGCGTTTTTTTTTTTTTTTTTATTTGTAAGTTGTTTTTGAAATAGGATTGGAGCATTTGGAGATGGTGGGATAATGTTTCACTTTACAGGTGGAGCCGCCAAGGGGAAGGGGGAAAAAAAAGCCCCAGAGACACTAATATTAGGCAAAGAAGCTGGTGACTTATTGTTTTCTTATTTTTTTTATTTACAGGAAGCATCTGCAGTACAAAAATGTAAACTTTAATAGCCCATAATAATAGAATAAACTCTTTATGTACAAAAATACATTTTCATATGAATGAAGCATCCTGAATAAATTAAAATACCCTCCAGCCCGGTGCCTGAATAGCTATGCAGGCACTCAGGTTCTTCCTGGAGCAAGCCCACAGTGGTGGGGGTCGCGATCCATAATGCATGACGCCCACTCCTTGTGACCCCTTTTAAAGCCTTTTCATTGTATTGTCAGCCGGCTCAAACTGAATTTTCATGCTCGTTTTTCTTCATTAGAGTTCTACAAATTGTAAAATTGACTTTTCACCTCGTCTTCAGGGGCTCATCTGTCCCTTTTCCAAATCACACCGAAGTGGTGGCTGGGGTCAGTTCTGAGCCAGTGACAAAGGAGGTTTTGTGGAGTTCAGAAAGTGCAAAACGAAAGGCCTTCTGAGGGCGGGCAGGAGGGGCTGGTGCTAGGGGCCCAGAGAAACAGACCAAGGGGCTCCTCAGCAAGGGTGCCGCGACCTAACCAGTAGGCAGGTATCCCCCACCCTTTAAAGTTCCCAGTGTCCACCTGGAGGGGGGTGGCTGAGGGTGCTCCCTGAGGCCTCAGTCGGTTCCCCAGCTATTGCTCTGACTGGGGGGGGGGGGGGAGGAAGGCCATAAAGTTGCTCACAATGGCCTAGTGGTATGGGATGAAACAGGGCGTCGTGTGGAGCAGGTCTTTGGGCAGGCCAGGGAAGGAGAAAAGGGGGTCGCCAGAGCCATAGGTGAAGTCTTCTGAGGTTGAGGGACTACTGGGATCAGAGAGTGGCGATGCTACAGTGGCACAGGGGGAGGAAGCAGCTCCGGAGCCCCAGGACTCTGCATCGCTGGCCGGGCTCGGGGGCCCAGGCAGACAGGGGACACACTGCGGAGGCAGGAGGCGCTCCCGGGCACTGCCCCCGGGAAGCCCTTGATCTGCCAGGCGCAGTGTCTCAGCCAGCGCCCAGATGTAGTTGTAGGCGAAGCGCAGTGTCTCAATCTTGGTGAGTTTAGTGTCGTCGGGGAACGAGGGCAGCACGCTGCGCAGTGCGTCCAGAGCAGCGTTGAGGTTGTGCATGCGGTTGCGCTCGCGATCGTTGGCCTTGACCCGACGGCTCCTTCGCAGGGAGTGCAGTAGCGCCTCGGACCGCACCCGCGCGCGACCTCGCCGACGCCGCCGTTCCTGTTCTTCGTCCTGCGCACCAGGAACATTCGAGATAGTGGGTGCGCTTCGGCGGGCTGGCCCGGACAGCCCCGAGGTGGAAGCTAGGGATTGGAGCTTGTCACTGCCCTCTTCGTCGGCCAGGAAGCTGGCCAGGTCGCTGGTGCTGTTGCTGCTAGCACAGTCGAGGTCGGAGAGGCAGGTCTCCAAAGGGGCAGGCATCGTTACTGTGTGCAGGACCCACAGACGGACAGGAGGAAATTTAGAGGGCTTGAGTCTGGGTCAGGGCACGGCCGTCGAGGCGCACTTACGTTCGTTCAGTACGACCCGGGGCTAGTCTGTGCCTGCTGCAGGCGTGAGGGCCAGGGAAGATCGCAGGGACTCCGGGGGGAAATGGGCTTGGCCTCCTAGCCTCGCCTGCAGGGGCCACGCGCCCGGCTGGTCTCCCGAGTGATGTCGCCGGCGATCAGATCAGCTCGTGTGAGCACCGAGTGTGGCACACGACCGGCCTCAGGACCCCTTAAGTACGGCGCGCAACAATGGGCGCCCCCCTCCCTGGCCACCTCCGCCCCCCGAGGCGGCGCGGGTGAATGGAGAGAGGCGGCAGGTCAGCCCCGTGCGGCGCCGGCTATTTGCATAATTTATGCTCGCTGGAGGCCGCCCCCGCCCAGCCCCCCTCCTGGAGCGTGCCCGTAATTACCGCCGGCCAATCCGTGGCCCTGCCTGCTCCAGGAGCCAGATCGAGCGAGGGGGGCCAGGGATTCTCTGGCAGGGAAACCCGGGCGCGGGCGGGGGCCGGGGGCGATTAGCAGCCGGCCGAGGCACGCTCCTCCCAGGGTTGCGCGGGCGCCGGTAGCCCGGGTGGGATGGGGAGGCGGGGCCCTGGCAGAAAGAGCGAGCTGTGCTTGTGCAGCGGGGGGTTGAAAAGCTGGGGTTGAGGCTGGAGTCTGGGTTCGCATCCCTTCTCCTGCTATTGAGGGTTCTTGTGCATTTAAGCGAATGGTTTCCCACCTCCGAGCCACCTCATGTTCCTTTATTTAGACGAAGCGACAGAAGTGTAGCGCTGGACAGAGATGTTAGACCGTTTTAGTAGGTTCCCGGTCAGGGCGCCTTTTAAACCATGCGGGTTGCGGCGAGGACTAAGTGCCCTCTGAGGGACTGACTATATCTCAGCCAACGGGATTGAGGACAGGCAAAGAGCTACATGGCTCAGGGAGGGATAGGTGTCCCTGCTCCGCCAAAGCTAGTGAGGAAAAGAGCAAAGGGGGAGGCGGAGAGGAAAATCTAAGGTAACGGTCCGATGAATTCCCAGGCTGGGCTGCCTCCACCCCACCCCGCCGCCGCGAGCGCACACCTTCCCCCTCAAAGACCCACTAAGTAATCCGTGTGCCTCTCCTCTTCTGAAACTTTGCTCTCTCTTGTGCAATGGCGCCAGCCTCAGGGGCCCACACCAACACCAGTTGACTAAGAGACTTAGCTTCTGGGCAGGAGGGAGCTGTCCCACAGAAGGCAAGTGAGCATCCAGGGGAACTCCATCCCCTCCCATTCTGCCCATTCGGCTATAAACTTGCCCATTCCAACAGAGAGTTCTCATTCTCCATCAAATTTCCTGTTTGCCAGAGTAATGGAGGTTCAGGCAGCCTCTCAACTGCTCTTGAGAGGAACAACCCTGGATTGTGAGGTGTTAAAGACAATATTAACACTCTGGACCTCCTCCTCCATGGTATCTGAGTGGTGGCCTCAGCTGTTTTCCTGGCCTCCTGCCTTCAAAGGGGCCCTGCCTGGAACACCAGGGCCTTGGTGGAGAAGGCATGGCGTCTTTGCTGACTGACTACCCTTGCCCCTGGCTTCTTCCTTCTGCAGCAGCCAAGGTAGATAGAACCAAGGCCCAATGTAGATAGAACCAAGGCAGAAGGCTAGGGCTAGGGCTCAGCTTATAGAGTGAGAAAGAACAGCAAGCGGCTATAATCAGATTACCCAAGAAAAAGTCATTGTTAAGTCCCACAAGCAACAGTAGCTAAGGGGCAGACCCTGCTCCTTGCCTCTTCCTGTCCCTATGCCCACTTCTGGTGTTCCCAGTGTACCAGCACCAGCCTGACCTTGTGACACTGCTGGACTGGTATTGGTTTCTTTGCGCTTCCATGAAGTGGGTGTGTTAAATCTACAGAAATTTCTTTTCCTGGGCTCAGAAGGCCCAAAGTCCAAAAGCAAGGTGCCCTTTCTGAAGGGCTGCATGGAGAGTGTATTGCTTGTCTCTTTTCTGCCTACTCGTGATTCCTGGATGTCCTTCTCACTAATTCATAACAGGGACTGGCCAGCTGTGCATCTGCCTCCATGTGTCTTCCCTGTGTCTCTGTATCTCCTTAAGGAGAGTTGTGGGCTCCAGGTCCTCGCTTTGATTGCATCTTCCAGAACTCTTGCTCCAGCTAAAGTTCTGTTCTGAGGCTCTGGGGGCCCACATTGAACTGGTACTGACCCCTTTCTTGGTTTGGCCAGCATCATTGTAATAGACATCTGTCAAGATTCAGGCTCTTGAAGTGCCTTCCTACTGGAGGATGTAAGAGCCCAAATGCACTTGTTGCTTTTGACCATTAGGCCATGCAATTTAAAGTTCAGTCCATCAAACTGGAGTTGGGCTCTGAGCGGGTGAAGTTTTTAAAGGTCACTTGAATCTTGGCCACAACCTGGAAGAGTCACTGGCCAATGGTGGAAGAGGTGGCCAGGAGCTAGCAGAAGCTCTGACCAGGCTGACCTATACCCCCACCCCCCACCCCATCTTCTAAGCACGGTCTCCAACCTTCCCATGGACTGCCTGAGGCACTCTCTTTGTTTGCCAGGTTCGCATCTGTGGCTTAGCAAGCAAGGCCTAGAAATCTTGGCTCACTTCATTTGGAGGCAGCCCAGAGACAAGGTGAGTGGCTGTGTTAATGCTGGGTGCAGGACTTTGGGGTGACTGGCCTAGGGAGGCCCTGACTCCTAGCTGTTGTTCAGTAGGGTTCAGCTCCCCTGTGCCTCATACAGGAGAAACTCGGGTGTGAGGTGAGGAGGTCTTTCCCTTAGGCCACCCCATGTAGCCCAGCTAGAGCTTTCCTGGGGCACTCCACCAGCACCCACTGTGGGCTGGCCTGGCTCAGCTCTTTAAAGAGGGTCAGCCAGGCCTACATCTTGAGGGAGGGAAGACACAGTTGTGAAGGGCAGTCATGGGCATCTGTCCCATGGTGTTAAGGAACAGACCCGAAACACATCCCAAAAGGAAAGGAGTAGTCAGGGATGGCTTCTTGGCAGAGTCAGACTGAGAGGCTTTGAAAGAAGGATCAGACATAAATAGACGACCTAGGTGGGGTGGGATGGGGTGTGGTGTGGTGGGGTGGGGGTGGGGTGGTGGGGGTGTGGTGGTGTGGTGGGGATGGGGTGGGGTGGAATGGGTTGGTGGTGGGGGTGGGATGGGGTGTGGTGTGGTGGGATGGGGTGGGGATGGGGTGGGGGTGTGGTAGGGTGGGGGTGGGGTGGGGTGGGATGGGGTGGGGTGTGGTGTGGTGGGGTGGGGTGTGGTGTGGTGGGGTGTGGTGTGGTGTGGTGGGGTGTGGTGTGGTGTGGTGTGGTGGGGTGGGGTGGGGGTGTGGTGGGGTGGGATGGTGTGGTAGGGTGTGGTGGGGTGGGATGGTGGGGTGTGGTGGGATGGGGTGTGGTGGGATGGGGTGGGGTGTGGTGGGGTGTGGTGGGGTGGGGTGGGGGTGTGGTGGGGTGGGGTGGGGTGGGGGTGTGGTGTGGTGTGGTGGGGTGGGGTGGGATGGGGTGTGGTGGGGTGGGGGTGTGGTGGGGTGTGGTGGGGTGGGGTGGGGGTGTGGTGGGGTGTGGTGGGGTGGGGTGGGGTGTGGTGGGGTGTGGTAGGGTGTGGTGGGGTGGGGTGAGGTGGGGTGGGGTGTGGTGGGGTGTGGTGGGGTGGGATGGGGTGTGGTGTGGTGGGGTGGGGTGGGGTGTGGTGGGGTGTGGTAGGGTGTGGTGGGGTGGGGTGAGGTGGGGTGGGGTGGGGGTGGGGGGTGTGGTGTGGTGGGGTGGGGTGTGGTGGGGTGTGGTGGGGTGGGATGGGGTGTGGTGTGGTGGGGTGTGGTGGGGTGTGGTGGGGTGGGGTGTGGTGTGGTGGGGTGGGGTGTGGTGTGGTGGGGTGTGGTGTGGTGTGGTGGGGTGGGGTGGGGTGGGGTGTGGTGGGGTGGGGTGGGGTGGGGTGGGGTGGGGTGTGGTGGGGTGGGGTGGGGTGGGGTGGGGTGGGGTGGGGGTGTGGTGTGGTGTGGTGGGGTGGGGTGGGGTGGGGTGGGATGACTGTAGGGATATGAGATAGCTGTGGTGGGCCCTGGATGATACCCTGGCCTTCCTGTCTTTCCTCTTGTCTTCTCTCTGAGCAGAGATATTGCTTATGTTTGTCCCATGTTCCCTGAGCAAGGACATTGGCAGAGGAGACAAGGAGCCGTATGTGGCCATGTAAGCACCACATCCTGTGTACTGCCCATAAAACCATGTGCCCTGCCTGATATGGCCTACCTCTGACCAGGGAAGACACTTTTTCCTGTGTACACAAGTGGGCCGAGGCTTTCTCCTACCGTCGCCCACCTTCCCTGTCTGGCATGCGTGGCTTGACAAGGCAGACATCTCCAGCTTGCTCTGTCTGCTCTTGTAGCACCCACTTCCTGGGTGGGTGGGGGTGCCCACTGGGTGCCTTTTGTTAGTAGATGAGGCTTAAGGGCCACTCCTATAAGATCCTCTGAGAATGGCCCATGACCTCAAGACAGAAGGGCTTACCTTTGCTATGAGGGGATGTATTCCTGCCCTGCAAGGGAGGTGAAAGTTTCTCCTGCCACCTAAATCTCAGCCAGCCCAGGAGCACATCTGTGGGTGCTCCTATTCCCAGAGAACAATAGGATGTGATCTGGGCACCTAACAGGTCCAACCACAGCAGGTGCTGGGGTGGCCATGTTGCACCAGGTGTTCTGGGATACCTGATGTGTGAAGCATCCAGCTGCCGATCTGCCAGGTTAGAGTAGGTGGGGCACATGTCTTAAAAGACTAAGGATGTGCCATGGTTTGGTTTCTGGGGTGGGTAAGTGTAGGCAGCCTTAGAAACCTGACTGAAGGCCCCAAGGGGAGGCAGGGAGGGAGGGAGGCAGGCAGGGAGGCAAGGAGACAGGAAGGCAGTTTTATTGCATTATGGAGATCTTCCTGGGATC